GTGGCTGTTCCCGGCCACCGCAGCCTTGACCTGCTGGGTTCTGGTGATCCTTCTGCCTCAGCCTTCCAAGTAGCTGGAACTACAGGTGCACGCAACCATGCCCGGCTAATTTTTCGATTTATTGTAGAGATGAGGTCTCACCAAGTTACACAGGTGGGTCTCGAACCCACGGGCTCAGGCAATTCACTCACCTCGGCCTCCCAAAGCGTGAGATTACAGGCTGAGCCACCGAGCCCGGCCTCCCCATTTATTCTTATTCTATTTACTGAGCACTAATCAACTAAGGAGCTCAGACTAAGCCTTGTTGGGATCTTTTCAGTTCAAATTAGAGACAAATATATATTTCAGTTCAAATTAGAGACAGTTACTAATTCCTTCTTTGGGTGAGAAAACCAGAGAAAGGTACACAGATCCCTTGGTTTTGGCTCAAGGGGAGCATCTCAATAGACAAAATAGGTAGTAACATGGAAGAGACTATTCCAGACAGCAGGAAAATTACTGGGTTGTATTTTAAGAATGACAAGGAACCCCTCAGAATGGAATATAAGCAAACAAGACACAGGGGCCATATTGAAGGAATAGACTTTTATACATAGTAACAAACTGTGGGTAGGAATGAGACACTACTCATTTCCCAGATTGGGAAGTCCTATGAATGATTTCTATTAGGGGACCTCTTCTTTTTTGAGTAGGAGTCTCACTCTGCCACCCAGGCTGGAGTGCAGTGGCATGCTTACAGCCACGACAGCCTTGACCTGTTGGGCTCAGGCAATCCTTCTGCCTCAGCCTTCCAAATAGCTGGAACCACAGGTGCATACCAGCATGTCTGGCTATTATTTTTTTTAATTGTAGAGATGAAGTCTCACCAAGTTTCCCAGGCTGGTCTCGAACCCCTGGACTCAGGAAATGCTCTTGCCTCCGGCTTCAAAAGAGCTAGGATTACAGGCTTGAGCCACCTCACCTAGCTGGGGGACCTCTATCCTTAATAGTAAAAGTTCCCTGAGGAGCTGAGGACTAAATGACCTCATGGCTCTATTATTTAGTAATTTCAATTCCAGGGCTGACCATGTTTCAGTGAGTTCACTGTAGCCAATGTCAGAAATGCCAAATCAGTGGAAACCTCCCAAGGATTCCATCAAGACTACTGAGCTACTCACCAGAGCTGCTCCTTCACTACAGCCTTTCTACTAATTGGTACTGAGATTCTTATGAGGAAATACATTTTGGGAATTGAGGTTGTGGGAAAACTTAGTTGCCATGTAGTATATACGTAGACCTTATTAATACCTAGATTTTAAAAAGGATCTACCAGCTAAAGCAACCTGAAAGACCCCATCTCGACAAAAAAAAAAAAAAAAAAAGCCGAGCTTTGTGGTGTGCACCTATAGTTCCACCTACTTGGGAGGCTGAGGCAGGCGGCTTGCCTGAGTCCAGGAGGTTGAGGCTGTGATGAGCTATGATTGTGCCACTGTACTCTAGCCTAGGTGACAGAGTGAGATCCCAACTCGAAAAAAGGATCTAGGCTGGGCACAGTGGTTCACACTTGTAATCCCAGCACTTTGGGAGGCTGAGTCAAGAGAATTGCTTCAGCCCAGGGGTTCGAGATCAGCCTGGGTAACCTGGTGAGACCTCGTCTCTAGAATAAATTTAAAAAATTAGCTGGGCATGGTGGCACGTGTCTATGGTTCCAGTTAGTTGGAAGAATCACTTGACTGCAGCAGCAGGTCAAGTTTGTGGTGACTGTGAGCGTAGTATGCCACTACACTCCACCCTGGGTGACAGGTGAGACTCTGACTCAAAAAAAAAAAAAAAAAAATGACCTGCATAAGGTATCCTTATGTACTAATTTTATGGGTTCCAGTTTATCTTGATCGGTCCTTTAAAAAAAAAATTTCATCTGCCATTGTTCTATCACCCAGATCACCATACATTTATACTTACTTTGTACTTACCTTCACAGTAGTCACTGAGCCTCTCAATACTGCCAGAAATGGAAAGATGCTGTAAAGACACAGGCTACCTGAGGTCTCAGGATAGGTTTACAGTAGTGGTCTCGTCCTAGAATCCAGGTTTCTGAAATCCTAATCCAGACCTTTTCTTTGAAGTAGTATAGGTGGGGTCTTACTCACATAGCCTAAATCTAAATTAGTTCTGGTTCTCAGTGAATGGTTATTTCTGAAGTAACTTTAGGGAAAGAATATGAATGTGTGTAGGACAGGACCTTTATTTCATAGATGGGCCCCTTAATGGGAGGCGGCTGGCAGTTTTTACCAGATTTAGGCTCAGAAGATACTTTACTTACAGCCTGCTATCAACCATGTGATTCAACCAGCATATGGTTTTAGATAATTTTCTTGATAACTTTATTCAGCAAAACATCCCCCAAATAACTTAAACAGAACCATGCATGTTTTCTTTCTTTCCGCGGGTGTATATGTGTTTATACATATAGATATTATACTAGCAATTTAGAGCTAGGATTACAGGTGTGAGCCACCTCGCCCAGCTGAGAATATTTCCTGAGTCTCATCTCTCCTTTTTTAACTTGTATTTTAACTAAAGTTTACAGAGAAGTAGATGGAGCACAGTTATAAAAACTTGTGCCTGGCCGGGCTTGGTGGCTCAGCCTGTATCCCAGCACTTTGGGAGGCCAAGGCGAGAGGACTGCCTGAGCCCACGGGTTCAAGACCCACTCAGGCAACTTGGTGAGACTTCATCTCTACAATAAATCCAAAATTAGCCGGGCATGGTAGTGCACAGCTATAGTTCTGGCTACTTGGAAAGCTGAGGTGGAAGGATCTCCAGAGCCCAGCAGGTCGAAGCTGTGGTGGCCAGGAGCATGCCACTGCACTCCAGCTTGGGTGACAGAGCGAGACTCTGACTCAAACCCCCCCCCAAAAAAAACCTGTGCCCAATAACATATGAGCACTTGAGACTAGGAGGCAGTATTCACTTCCCTCTTTCCAAGGCTTCATATAATTATGCTGATTTTTGCCCCTGCCTGCTGATTCAAGTGCAGTCTTGGAGCCCCCAGTCAAAAACTTCCCTTAACCAGAGTCACCTGGTAAGGTGAATCAGCAGACTGTTAAATCATCCTGCCAAGTACAAAACCCTGTCTCCCACACCTCATCAATAAGGGTACCCGCATAATGAACATTTGTATACTTCACCCTGAATTGTACCCCACATCTTTCAAATTAAAAAATAAAAAAAGGACACAGACTAGCAGTAATGTGTATTATGACTGACAGAGGGGACTGAGCTTGATGCTGAACAGCCTGGAAGTAACATAGCAGTATTCAACACTGGAGGGCGGGGGAGGGACCAGGGAGGTGGAGAAGGGGGTATGTATTTGTCTTCCTCTGCCCCACACTCTTTTTGGTAGTCCAGTGGATGAAGAAAATGGATTTGCTCCACAGCAAGCCAGACCGTGTGTAATAAGGAAAGTACTGCATGGATTGCTAGCACAGACTCCTTTCTCCGGCTCCAAATCCTGCTAAAGACACAAACACACACAAAACTTGAAAGGGTTCAATCTGAGTACACGTAAAGCTGTAGGAAAGCAGCTGCAGAGAAGTAAATATTAAGACAGGACATGGGGAAAAGGGAATCAAGCAAGGCCTCCACTATCACCCTCATTACTTTCCTGTTGCTACAGATAGATGGTAACTCTACTCACACAGCAAAGCAGATGGCTGAGTAAGCTGAAGCCCAGACTTCAGAGTACATAGTCGTCTTCAAGGTTATCATCGCCAGACACAGAGGCAGCTTCTATTGAGCAGAAATGAGGAAGAAGTTTGACACTGCCTTATACTAGCACCGCCAGCTAGGCTCAGGAGTAAATGGGCCTCTTGGTGTCAGTGACCCAAAAACCAAGTCTTAACACCCCTAGTTTGGAAAGACTGAGGAAAAGGTAACCTTCAAAATGCTTTAAGGAGGAAATGCAGTTTGTACCTGATAAGCTAGGGCAGGACAGGGTTTGTGTTATCACTTCAGGGCTCTTTGTGGTCTCAGTGAGCAAGGTGCTGAAAGAGGCATCTGTTTCTGTAGCCTGATGAAAAGAGGAGAAAAGGAAGAACATGGCTGTTGGGAAAGGAGAGGCCACATTGTCATTCTGCTCATAGGGTCTGGTTAAGCTGGTTATTAACAGGCAATTGAGTTTGGCTACTGAGAGGGACAAATGCCTCCTCTGATCTATTGGTGGAGCAGCTCAGAGTCCTTAGCAAAGCTAACAAGACATCATGACTAGCTTTTGTGCTGCTCCACATACTAAATTTGCCCAGAAGCAGCACTCTAAATGACTACAATGGCTCACTTACCACCTCCTTCAACATGTCTGAGACAGCTCTGTTTTCTTCCATGTCTTCTGGAAGCTCAATCGCATATCCTTTACGAACTAATTCTAGCCCAATATCAAGTTTCTGAGAAGAAAAATGAAAAGGGAATGATGAGCTGGGCTTGGTGGCTCAGCCTGTAATCCCGCACCTTTGGGAGGCTGAGGTGAGTGGATTGCCTGAGCCCACGGGTTCGAGACCCGCCTGGGTGGGTGAGACCTCATCTCTACGATAAATCAAAAAATTAGGTGGGCGTGGTAGCGTGCGCCTGTCATTCCGGCTACTCGGAAGGCTGAGACGGAAGGATCGCCGGAGTCCAGCAGGTCGAGGCTGCGGTGGCCGGGAGCGGCCACTGCACTCCAGTCTGGGCGACAGAGAGAGACTCCAACCCAAAAAAAAAAAGAAAAGAAAAGAGAATGATGTTCTCTTGAAAAGAAAGGGCCAATCTGAGGAAACAAGGCAGGAGAGCTAATATTGACACTTAAATGTCATTTCTTTGGTGGGATGGTGAGCAGGATCTCACAAAGTAGGAGTATTATCAGATAAGAGTTTCTGGGAAAGAAAAATAATTAGCTATAAATATACTGAAGATATAGTGAGCAGTGAGTGAACTCCAATCTTACCCTCCCATTGCTAGTATCATATAAGTAGATCTTTGGCCAAGTTGAGATCCCAGTCTGGACATAGCTAGAGATTTTGGCCACCAGGGGCTTCCAGTCAGCACAGTGAGTGAGTCTGTCAAATTCATCCAAAGCTTCCTCTTCCCATTGTTCACCTGGCAAAAATTGTAAGGGAATACCTTAAAGGGGTCAGAGCTGACAGGAGTGGGGAGCATACCCTGGAGGTAAGTTGAAACTACCCTTTTTACTCAAGAAGGCACCTATGTCTTCTCTGATGGGGTTGGGTCTGCCTGCTGCTCTCTAGTGCTGATGAGGAAAGGGATCCAAGTCCCCATGTGAGAATTCCTCCCATGCACTGTATGAAGTTATTCTATTTGAAGGCAAGGTCAAAAGGCAGCATGGCCAATTTACCTGAAGGGGCAATCCGTGCCAGACTACACTCTATTGCTTGAAATGGAAGACTGAGGAAGTCACTCCTAAAGTGAAAGAAACTAAAATTAGAATCCTAGGGCCAGAGGAGCCTTCTTATACTGCTTGCATTCAGACAGAACCAACAAACCCAGTATGAGAAGATAATCATCTGCTCTCTGTAACAGGTACTCTTCCAAATCCCCTGGTGATAAGTGCCAATAGCTCACTACTCAATGGCCAGGACCGAGTCAATAGTTGGGATGCCAGCCAAGTCCACCCTGGCCTCCGCACTGACCTAAGAGCCCTGAGATCCTTCAGTGGGCAATCTCCATTATCTCCAAAGTCAACAAAGTAGAGGTCCAAGTTCCCATTCTCCAAGGTGCCAAGGATGCGAGCTCGATACCAGGAACCACTTGCAGGTAAAGGTGCTGCTACAATGTCTCCTACATGCACGGTCAAGTCTTCAGGCTATACATGGGGATGAGGAGTCAGGAAGTGATAGAGTTACGAGGTGATAGGCTAGCAAATAAACAGGAAATAGCAGGAAGAAGAATGAACAAGTAGCTGTCCCACAGGACAAGGGAGAGAATATATTACAATGAAAAATATAAGCCCCCTTTTCAGCAAACTCTAGCCCTGTCCCTAAGCAACTCACCAGACTATTCTCATAGTGTTGGGTCATCTCATTGATAAGCTTATCCAGTTGCAGGCTGCGGGAGCCAATGATCTGGATCCAGAAGTGGTTAGGGTGTTCAGAAGCAGAGACGTAGACTTCTAGGTACTCATCAGCATGGAAACTGAAGTCAGGACTGGGGACTGAGCACAGAGAGAGAGAGAGAGAGAGAGAGAGAGAGAGAGAGAGAGAGAGAGAGAGAGAGACAATGGCCATATCAGAACCATCTCTGGTTGGAATGGAAAAACTATCAGGAGAGTGAAAGGTACAAATACCAAGTGGCTGTTACCACTTTAAAAATGGCTAGAGGGACAAATGGATGATTCATTCAAGAACATTCTAAAGAAAGATACTATGCTCTCCTCTTTACCTTTCCATGTAATATATGTGCCATGTATTCAAATCAGTCAGCAATTATAATGGAAGTAAATCCTCCACATGCTAGCTGTAGCGTGGATCAGCAAACATTAAGTACGCAGACAGCAACCTTTACATGGACAACAGATATGGCCTACTGCAGAACCCATTCTACCACTGACTCCTTATGTGACCTTGGACAGGTCTGTGAGCCTCCTGGACATCCTGGTCCTCTCTACCCATGCTAACATCTATGCGTAAAAAACTCACGGCCTTTTCATTCTTTTTGAATAGTGATGGTTTATTTGTTTATTTATTTATTTATTGAGTCAAGAGTCTCACTCTGTCGCCCAGGTTGGAGTGCAGTGGCACAATCACGGCCACTGCAGCCTTGACCAGCTGGGCTCAGGTGAGCCTTCTGCCTCAGCCTTCCAAGTAGCTAGAACCACAGGTGCATGCCACCATGCCTGGCTAATTTTTTTGATTTATTGTAGGGACAAGGTCTCGCTAAGTTGCCCAGGCTGGACTCGAACCCATGGGCTCAGGAAATCCTCTCACTTCAGCCTCCCAAAGTGCTGGGATTACAAGTGTGAGCCACCGTGCCTGGCAACCCAAGTAAAATATTACCAGCAAGGCATATCTGTGATGACAGCCATAAGTATAGTTATGAAAACAGAAATGATTTTTTATTGCTTCCTATTTTGGGTAATCTAAGTCAGTATTTCTATCTTCTATGGTTAATAACTTCCCTCTTTGTTACATACTTTCAAACATAGATGTCTCTGGAATGGCCTGGATTCCAGACTTCTGAAAGCTGTCATCATTAGGTTTCTCCCAGGAATCTTCTTTTGGCCCTACAACAGCCATGTCACCATCTCCTTTGTGAGGAGGAACTGCCAAAGGCTTAGCCTGCTCCATGCTAGAACTGGTACTTTTCCATAAAACTGGCTCTCCAGCCCCATCTGGCTCTGTCACCTCCTCTTTTCTCACACTGATTGGCTGCTTGCGTGGGACTCTGGTTTCTGCAGAATGAGCAATTCTCTTCCGGAGTTCTTCATCTTCTGAAACTTTCTCCAGTATCAAATGCTTTGGAGAATAAGAAAAGGGATAATAATTCTGACCTAGGATGAAGCAAAGGGTTCTTTGCATTTTAGGTACAATTCAAGTCTATCAGCTACTTGCCTTGGCTGCTGCCACTTCCTTCTGTGTTCCTGAGATTTTTATAAGTCTTGATAGTAGTAATGTCCCCTCTGATTCTTTGTCACAAGTAATTTTGGCTCCAGAGGCTTTACAGATAGAACGAATTGTCTCGCCGCCTCTCCCTACATTGAACAATACATAAAAACCTGTCCTTCTCTCCTGGCCAACTTTAATTACTAGAGAAAGTACTACTTTGTGTATACTGGGAAAAGGGAGTCAGTTCTCATTTCTAAACTGAGCAAAATGTAAGATGTTGCATGGAAAGCAGGAGCTACTGAAATCACTGCTTGATTATTTGTTTTATCTACTTTATTTTTTTAAATTAAATTAGTTAATTAATTAATTAATTGAGTTGGAGTTTCACTCTGTTGCCCAGACTGGAGTGCAGTGGCACACTTCTGGCCACTGCAGCCTCGACCTGCTGGGCTCCGGCAATCCTTCCGCCTCAGCCTTCCAAGTAGCTGGAACTACAGGCGCGTGCTATCACACCCGGCTAATTTTTTGATTTATTGTAGAGATAAGGTCTTGCCGAGTTGCCCAGGTGGGTCTCAAACCGGCGGGCTCAGGCAATTCACTCACCTCAGTCTCCCAAAGCATGGGATTACAGGCTGAGCCACCGAGCCCGGCTATCTACTTTATTTAAACTCTACACTTCAGCTAGACTAACTTCATGTCATTTTCATTTTCTGAGTATTCAGCAAGGCCACATTTTATATTCCCAGCTTATAAGAAGCTGTGCTACATGGTGTGTCAGAACACTGGACCTAGGATAGGTCATTCCTCTGCCCCTAACGGCAGTGCTAAGGAATGATCTGGGGGAAGCATAGCAGGTACTTGGTAGAGCACTATCTTGAAAAAGTTGAGATAATATGAACATCCCCAGCTTTCCTTTAAAATCGATTATAACAAAAATACATTTACCAGAACCTTTCTGAAACCTATTTGTAAGGTTCAGATCATACAACTTCTTGAAGTAATGGGTTTTGTTTTACCATCAGTTCTGTAAAAAAGTAAACCTCTGGTCTCAATGTCCTTGTCTTTTTTTCCCCTCAGCATGGAGAAGGGGGAATAGGCCAGAAAAAAACCCTTGGAAAGGTGTGAAAAAAAGGCAAAGGCAAAGGTGAAGAATAAATGAAACAGCAGAGGAAGCCGTCCAGTGGTACCTATGATTCTGCCCACAGATCTCTGGGGAACTGAGAGCTGCTCAGACACTGGGGTATTCTCTGTCAGGATCTGATGGATTGCTGCTTTGGCCTTGCACACCTGAACAGGAAAACCACTGATAAGCAGCACTCGCTCATTGCCTACGTCCTCTGTGTCCACATCAATCCGAGCACCTGTCTGTTTCCGCAGCTGCAGAGAAAACGGACATGTGGTAGTACCTTCTGAAAGAGCTCTCGTTTGGGTCCATCTAAAGACACTCTAAACCAAACTCTGGAGGTAGACAGAGTTGGCCAAAGGCAACAGCTAAATCAGGATGGCTATAATTCGTTTTCAATTACTTGTACTTACGGGAAATTAGTAACAAAGGTAACCTCAAATAGCAGTTAATTAAAATCCATTTCTCTTTGTGTTTAGAAGCCTCCTCCCCCATTTTATTTGGATTGGACAATCAAATATTTTGTTTTCTTGACATTTCAACTGGATAGTGGAAGATGGTAAGAAGAGCCAGGCAGTAATTCAATATTTACTGTCAATTAATGACAGTCTATTAATTCTATAATAGAAACAGTTTGAGCTATACCATGCCGACAGTCATCCAAACAAAAATCTTTCTTTCAAGGTAAGTCATTCATTCTCTAGAAATACTCCTTTCTAGAAGGAAAACAGCATAGTTAACTAAAAAGTTCCTGTATTTGTTATTTTAAAAATATACATAGCATGGGTGTGTTCTGTGATATGGGGGTCAAAGAAAGGAAATAAGAAATCAATAAATAGAATCAATCCCTGAGAAAGCCGACTGCCTGTTCAACACACTTACCTGTTTAATATTGGCTCCTTGCCGGCCAATGATGAGCTTCACAGCCTCCTGGGGAACTCGCATCTCTATCTCAATGTCATCCTCCCCAACAAACGTCAGCCGCTCTTCTGCACAGATCATGGCTTATTAGATCAGACTTAGATAACATGCAGAGCTACTACCAGCCCTCCGCTGACACTGATCCAGAAGATAAACTGAGGATCTCAACTATAACTACAAGAAGAGGTAGCATCTGAGTGGGAATTAAAAGGTCCCAAAAGACCAGAGATGGGCATTTTCTCTGGAATACTGTTTCAGATGCTAACATGGGAAAAGCAGACTCACAAAGAAGAGGTACTGAGTTTTGGGCAAACTGCTTCTCTCAAAACATGGCAACTAGAGAAGAATGAAGGCCAAAAGTTTCCCGAGGCATCCATCAGCTAAACTTCTCCTGACTGATGTGTACATAAGTCATTTCTCTAGGTCCAGCCTTTGGGGAAACTGCCTTCTCCCAACAACTAATTAGGGAGAAGGAACATATAAGAAAGCGTTTAGAAATAAAAAAAGAACCCGTTGCCATGTTGATGTTGCTGAAGAGAACAGATCAATGGAGCTGAATTATAAAATGAGTTCATTTATAGCTTAGCTTCATAGTGAGAACATAAAAAAAGAAGAAAACTAAATAGTTTTGGTCTAAGATTTCTCACACAAAGACAGTTACATCTCAATAAGCAATACCTGGTCTGGCAAGGAAAAAGTTTTCATTTCCATTTAACAAGGCAGGCAAATAATCTGAACATTTTCACATGCACAGTCATGGGGTTCACATACCTCTGCTTTCCCTATACCTGCGGTATAGGATATAGGCAACTGTCGCACTGGCTGGAATTCCAAGGCCCAGGGCTATTTTCTGAATAGTGGACAGATTTGTCCAAGAAGTCCGTTCAGTGGACATTTTCACTGAATTCTGATTTACATCCTGAAACAAGCAAACCAGGGAAAAGAGGGTGCTTTCATCTAACACTTGTATGATGAGCAGAGAGGCTGGAAATACATTACTATATTACTGAAAAGAATACTACTGCCTAGCTTTCCATTTCAAGAGCTTCAGCAATACAAAAATCTATTTCAGCTGGGCTCGGTGGCTCAGCCTGTAATCCCGCGCCTTTGGGAGGCTGAGGTGAGTGGATTGCCTGAACCTGCGGGTTCGAGACCCGCCTGGGCAGTGAGACCTCATCTCTACAATAAATCAAAAAATCAGCCGGGCGTGGTAGCGCATGCCTGTAATTCTGGCTACTTGGAAGGCTGAGGCGGAAGGATTGCCGGAGCCCAGCAGGTTGAGGCTGCAGTGGCCGGGAGTGGCCACTGCACTCCAGTCTGGGTGACAGAGTGAGACTCCAACTCAAAAAAAAAAAAAAAATAAAAATAAAAAATCTATTTCATGTAAAAGGCCTCAGGGTATTTTTTAAGTTAGCTAAGGCACACATACACATACAACTAAACAGAAGCATACTTCACTTTTTTGCCCCCAAGAAGAACTATACATTGATCAGTTTTAAAAGACAAAGGAACAAAAAAACGAAATGAATCAAATATTTTTTTAATTATATATACATATACACACACATACACTTAGATTTTATACCAAACTATTAAAAATTCCTTATCCAGCCGGGCTAGGTGGCTCAACCTGTACTCCCAGCACTTGGGAGGCCGAGGCGAGTGGACTGCCTGAGCCCATGGGTTTGAGACCAGCCCAGGCAACTTGGTGAGACCTCATCTCTACAATAAAATAAAAAATAGCTGGGCGTGGTAGCGCGCATCTGTAGTTCTGACTACTCAGAAGGCTGAGGTGGAAGGATCGCCAGAGCAGGTTGATGCTGGGGTGGCTGTGAGCATGCGTGCCACTGTACTCCAACCTGGGTGAAGGAGTGAGACTCCAACTCAAAAAAAAAAAAATTCCTTATCCAAGTCTTTTTATGCCTCCAGGCCATCCCAGAAGCTGTTGCTTCTGCAAAGAATGCCATTCCAGGCCTAGGAAAGGCCTTGCTACTGCTTCTTCTTAGAAGTACAGTCTTCATTTACTGTCTCTACTTTTGGTTTCTATTTACTCCTCAACCAACAATGAAATGGGGTTCTACCCTGTTCCTTCACCAAAACTATAATTTCCCATATAATCACGAGGATACATATGAAGGCTTTTCTCACCTTACCTCTCTGCAGCAGCAGGAAGGCAGCCACTCCCTTCACAAAACTTTGTTTCTGTCCCCTTTCCCTCCTGTTTCCCTGTAGGGTCTTTCTGAGTTTGGGGCTTGTCTTCTGAGCCCTCTATCCACTGTTAATGTCACTCTGCTCTCTCTGGGCAATTTCATCCACACCCATCACTTCAATTATTACCTATATGTTGTTAATGAATCCAACAAATGCTGCACCTGGCCTTATTCAGAAACTCATCAATTCTCATGTAGACCATTGCAATGGTCTTCTTACAGACTTTTTTTGCTATTGTTCTTTCTCTGATATTACATCTTCAATTTGCTGCAAAGTAAGTCTTAACATGTTCCTCACTATATTTCTTTATTCCATGTAGTTTCTCAAATATTTCAGACCTTCTCTTCTCAAACCTCTAGTGCCTCCTTCAACCTCTCTCTCAACTGATGTCCTTGTTTCCTAGTTCACTGAGAAAATAGAGCATTCAGAGAAATATCCACAAGCTGATACACATTTACTCACCTACCACCACCTGTGCCTAAATATCTTCTCTCCTGAGACCATAAACTCTCTCTGCTCCTAGCATTGAAATCTTTCTTTTCCTCGAGTTTTAAAATGAGTTTATTAAAGAATGTTCTTAGGAAGGCAATAACTTTTGATCTGTCATAAAAAAGTTATGTTTTTTCATGCTGTATAATAAAGGTAATGTAAGAGGCTACAGAGTTGTCAGCTTCTTTCTATGGGAGTTCTCTGGTATAGCACAGTGTAGTCATTTCTGCAATGCTAGAATAAATTTTTTTTTTTTTTTTTTTTGAGTTGGAGTCTCACTCTGTCGCCCAGACTGGAGTGCAGTGGCCGCTTCCGACCACCGCAACCTCGACCTGCTGGGCTCCGGCGATCCTTCCGCCTCAGCCTTCCAAGTAGCCGGAATTACAGGCATGTGCTACCACGTCTGGTTGATTTTTTGATTTATTGTAGAGATGAGGTCTTGCTGCCCAGGCGGGTCTCGAACCCGTGGGCTCAGGCAGTCCACTCACCTCAGCCTCCCAAAGGCGCGGGATTACAGGCTGAGCCACCGAGCCCGGCTTGATTTTTTGTAAAGATGAGGTTTCACTGCCCAGGCGGGTCTCGAACCCGCGGGCTCAGGCAATCCACTCACTTCAGCCTCCCAAAGGCGCGGGATTACAGGCTGAGCCACCGAGCCTGGCTTAGAATAAATTTTAAAAAGTCACTTCTATGCTTGAAATCTTTCATTAAAAGTATTGTTCCACCAATTCATCCTTCCTCCAACATTGCTAATGTTTTTCCTCTCAACTGCATCTATCCATCAGATAAACAAGCTCCCCTCTTAAAGAAAACCCTTTTCTGGATTCCACTTACTCCTCCAACCACTTCCTATTTCTTCCCGTCCTTTTGAGGGAAAACTCAAGAATGTGTCAATACTTCTGTCCTCAATTTCTCCTCTTGAATCCACTCTAACTGCTCTCATCAAGGTCACCAATGACATCACATTGCTAAATCCAAAGATCAATTCTCAGTTTTCATCTTACCAGATCTCCTCACAGTATTTGGCACAGTTGGTGATTCCTTCTCTGAAACACTTTCTTCTCTTGGCTTCCTCCACAGCACATCCTCCTGGTTTCCTCCTCCCTTTCTAGCTGCTCCACCATTCTCAGCTGCTGGTTTCCTCTCATTTTCTAACCTTTAACCACTGGAGTGTCCCAGAGCTCTGCCCTTTCCCTCTTCTGTTCTACCTTACAACCTGGCTTCATATCCCATCTATATGCTAATAATTTCCAAATTAATAGATCCACTTAACCTTTCTCCTTAACTCCAGGTTTGTGAATCCAACTGCCTAAATAACATCTCCATTTGATGTCAAAAAGACATCTCAAACTCAAAAAAGTATAACACTGAGCTCTTGATTCACTCACTTCCTGCAGTCCATGCCATCTCAGGAAATAGCAACTCCATTCATTTAGTTCCTTAAGCTAACAATTAGTCATACTCTCTCTCCTGCGCATCCAGCCTGTCAGCAAATCTTATTTGTTCTACCTTCAACTTATCCAGAATCTGACCACTTTTAGTGTCCATATTGCTATGATCTTGCTCTAAAACATCATTCTCTTTCCCTAGGTAACTACAATTGCTTAATTATGTCCTTGCGCTTGCCACTGTCCATGCAGTTTATTCTCAAAACTACAACTGAAGTAAGTCAAATGGCATTGCTCATCTGCTCAAAACCTTCCAGTGGCTTTCCATATATATCACTACAATTAAAAGTCAAAGTCATCATAATAAACTGCAAGGTCTTCATCTTGACTGTCTCTCCATTAGAATGTAAACTCCACAAGGGCAGAAATTGTTAAGTTTCCTTATCCAATGTATAGCACACAATAGCTACTCAATAAATATTTGGTCAAAATAATTTGAACCAATGAACTTTCTTAGTTCTCCAGAGGCTCTCTGTTGCCTAAATGTAAGGTCCTTAATGACATGAAAGTTTCTTTATAATCTGACCTCCGCCTACTGTCTTCACAACCCCATATTCTTACCCCCTCTTGACTAGGGGAACAAGGTGTGTTTTAACGTATCCTTGCTCTGACACGTGTCACTTCTGTTTTCTTAGTCTCACTTCTTAGCCCACCATGTGTACCTGAAAAATTCTATTTCTTCTTTTCTGAGTCATCTTCAATTCCATCTCTTCTTCTGGGGCCTCTGGGATTTCCCCTAGAGTGAGTTTCTCCTTACCTCATATTGCTCTGTGAATGATACATCACCTGGGCACAGAGACTTACGCCTGTAATCCCAGCACTTTGGGAGGCAGAGGTGAGAGAATTGCGTGAGCCCAGGGATTCGAGATCAGCCTGGACAACTTGGCGAGACCTCGTCTCTACAATAAATCAAAGACCTTGTCTCTACAATAAATACAGGCGCGCGCTACCACACCCGGCTCATTTTGATTTATTGTAGAGATGAGGTCTCACCAAG